GGAGCCACAGGTGAAAGCTGAACACCCCAGAGGTGTATGAGGGGTGATCAGTCGCAGCCCAAGACACCCACCCCCGACTGGGGCTTTCGAAGGCATAGGTGCGGCTATCCCAGTCATCAAAATTCCCGCTGATTTCAACACGTCTGTGCGTTTCACTCGCCGATTGAAAAAACTTCAATGCACTTTACTCATTGAGAAAACGTCAGCTTCATTGGGACCTCATCACCATGCCTTTTCAAAAACATTCCATCCGGTATTCCTTTACGAAAATTCGTTTTCGATCCAAGCTGCAAACAAACTTTGATGAAAAAANGATATTCAGACCGGAGATAATGCAATTACGCATGCTGGGTGAAAAGACTACATAACCAGATGTGTTGGCGTTTCAAATTGTTTTGGGTTCAAATCGTTAAATGTCGGAATTACACACACAATTTGAACTAGAACGAACGATCACAAAGGGCCAAATATGACCGAAATTCACTCGAAATGATCGAAAAAAAGCAAACGATAAACAAATTCCGTTCCTGTCGCTGTTTAATGTATCGTTATGTGATCCAAACGTGACAGATAAATCACGCACAAGTTTGATGATCACGCCAAATCAGAACGCTCGTTATCCCCTCTCCGCCCCGTTTTCGAATTACAACCCAATTGATCGTGGCTGATGATGCATGACCTATACGTGGAGATATCCAACATGTCTCGGTGTTACTAGGCCTGAGAAGACGAGCACCAACACTGACTGAAGTCCGTCGACTTGTTGAGCGCGGCTCATTTATGCTGATTGTTTCACTACGTGGTATGACAGTCATTTAAAATAATCTATCGATTGGTATTACTAACATTATTACTTCATTGTGTGCGGCTTTGCATGGCCGTCAAATTTTGTAATGTTTCACTAAACAATACTTTTATAGTATATATATAATGCTTTTATAAATCCACCACCACTCTCTGCTCAAAATGTGCTTCTTCATGTTCGACTCACGTACCAGCGCAAAGCACGTGCTGTCTGCATCGGAGTCAATCATTTGGCCTTGGATACCGAACGCATTCAACAAGAAGAATTGCTGAAGAAAGTGAAACAGCTAGAACAGGAGCTGAAGGATGCTGTGAGTTACCCCCTGAATCGATTGGAGAATCCATACCGATTATCTCACTAGGGATTAAATAATGAATTAGTGTGTTGTTGTTGAGTAATATTAATATTGCAAATACTGTTTTTATTTCCTTTTATGCATTAAACATGCGAATGTCCGATGACCTTTGATGCGGGAGGGGGGCGAGGTCATACCAGGATTTACGTTGAAAAATACAGAAATGTGGGAAGCTGGAGGCGATGCCGTGAATCGAACTCAAGTCGCCATTTCTTTGACCATCGCCAGCCCTAGATGAAAAAAATTAGATTGTGACTATTTCTGTGTTTTATAAAACTAACAAGTAGGAATAGCAGACAACTCAATAACTGATCGATCTGTTTTCCAATTCCACCCATCATCAACTACCCTTCCTATTCGATCATTTTTGATAATCAAGTTATTTTTTGTTTTGTTTTATTACAGGTATATCAGAAGACTAATTTACCACAGCGTGCATCCGACGTCCGAGTGAGTACAGATGTGAAACGTATTAACTGATTGTTGCTCGACTATGATAAACCCGATGGAGAAGACCGTTGACTAGTATTGCACTTAGCGTGATTAATCGGGTTGTGGATAGACCAAATTGCGCATGCTCATCATCTAAATTAATTTTGTTTTCATAGGGTGCTTATCGACTATAAGGGTTAATTTAAAATGCAAACAAAAAAACCGGATAATATTGATCCGAATTCGGTTCACATTCCAGAACGACGTGAAGTGCAACTCGGCGGCACTGCGATATTTGGAAGCCATCTCCCAGCTTGAACGTTCCTTCACGGTAAATTTGTGTTCGATCAACTATTCTGATTAAACTAACATTTTAGGTTCTCACAGAGAACATTTCTGAGACATCTGTGCAATTGAGCAGTCCAAAGGCATTATCGGAATCGGTACATGTGAAGAAGGTGAGTAGCATATCCATGGCTGACGTGTATTATTGATGTTTCGCTTTTCCCCGTACATTTTTTCATCAATCATGTGAACCGCTTGATTCCGATCTCTATTCCCCAGGAACTCGGCGGTACGGTACAAAGCTGCTGGAATTATGTGTCTCATTTGTCTCGCCTGACGCAAGTGCACATACGCAACGCGGCTGAGTATCATCAGGTAACTAAATGACCAGTTGGTCTGTCTGCATCCCGGAAGCTGTTCAGCGTTTCCTTTTTCATGATAATAAATTCCAAAACCAAATCGCGTTTTCAAACGTAAACGATGAACAACTAACTATGCGCGAGATAATGCTTGCGCGTACGGAACCTGTTTAGCATTTCTAATAGTATTTCTTTTGTTTACCAGTAAAAGTCAGATCCCAAAGCCAAAACTTGTCGTCTTACAGTTTTCCAAAGACTTTGTTATATTCCGAGTGTGATGTTTAGACGTGTAGAAACTGATGCATTGTTAGAAATAAACTGCCTGACACTGAGGTGAATGATAAATCGTCCCTGAAAACGTTCAACCATAAAAGAACTGGTCTGGTTCAGTAAAAATCATATTTCTTCGTTATTCAGGTAAAATATTTTTACATGTGCTTTACTTTAAAGTCCTACAGGGAGCACATTCCGAAGGGCCAACTATACAAATATTTTAGGCACAAAAAACGTTTTATCGTTATTGATGTTTCCTAGGCTAAATATGTGGATCGTCTACTGCCACTGAAATAGGTCTTGTTCTAGAGGTTCCAAGCACGACTCATTTTTACAAATAAAGAGGTTCAATTGGGCAATTTTCTTAACCCAAGAATGACTCGTGAGCTCGCAGATTTCGACCATTGGCCATAATCAAATCACACAATCGACACCTGGCCGACAAGGGTCACGTCTTTTTCTCTCTCAGGGGTTAGTGCGCACAGTAATTTGCGCGAAAATCGATGCGCACGCGGACGCAATCACACCTGCACACCCATACTATGCAACCAATGTTATACGTGCTCACAAGCGGAATATGAGGACACAATATGGACGAAACATACAATCAACTGCTTCAAATTGTCTCTGTGTGTGTTAAGCAGTTGCACAGGAGTGTCCCGCGTCGTAATGATGTGCGCAATCGGTAAAACAGGTTGCTCTCACCTGATGTGTACCAGCGTCATAGGTGAATGACCATAGTTTTGGATTATACACACACACGCAAAGTCCTGCTGGTCCTTGGCAATCGACACAGGGTGTTCCGATCGATATAAGTTGTGTAGCATGAATGCATGCAGAGTTGTATGAGGTGTTTTTTTTTGTATTTGAACTAAAGAGGCAATACAGGTCAAGGTACGTAAATAACCATCACAACCATTAGCTTGGCATGTGTCGCATTCCAATCACTGTCGAACTGTTGTGTATTAACCAATAGCAGTCATTAACAAGACATATTATTTTACGGTTTTCGAAAGTGATTTGTGTTGAACTGAGAAGTTTGTGAATGAACAATTATTTAACGCCAAAAGCTGACCACATTTTGAGGCTGTAGCTACCAAAAACATTGGTGGATCATGCACTTGGAGCGGTTTGATAACTGTTGCACTTGAAAACATTTGCATTTGGCAACTTACTACTGAATTAGTTGGTAGTAGGTATACAAAGGTAGATGAAAATATGGTGTGTGGTCACTTCACCGATTAGAGCTGGATTAAAATAAGGCATGAGTGTCCCGCTCCACGGTTGTGGAAATGGAATGGTTGAACCGTTATTTATCCAACAAAAGTAGTGATACAGGGACTATTTTGTCTGTACCCATTTTCTACATTTACAGTTCCACCATGCTGTCAGTGAAGTGGAAGCCAATCTGAACAGAAGGATGAAGCTAACTCAGCCCGATTATGCCCGAACACTTCCAGACGACTTGAGTGGTTGCCACATGTTGGCCAATGAACTACGGGTAAGTTCGAACACAGAAACGCATGACGGGCGTTGTAAATTATCGCAGGACTGTTTTCTTTTACTTGTTATTTTTATAGGAAGAGCTGAATGATATGATTTGTCATACAGCATTTTCGGAGCAACCGACATAGTTGGTAAAATCACTTCAGTAATTATGTAAAGAAAGGAATCCGGAAAAGTTTCGGGTTCTTGGCGATGTGTAGATACGTAGACTGCCAACCAAACTCCAAGTTTTTCATCTATATCTTCCTCTGTTTACCTGCTAAGGGATCAGAAAACAAGTTGACAAATCACTGGACAATCAGGGGTTGTTGGTACAGTTTGAAAACGAAACCTTTTCCCAGGCACACTGTGGCCAATCTTGTTGTGCAACAAAATCACTCCGTAGCTTTCACTCGATTTACCAAAACAAGTATGGAAGAAAATCATATTTTTTAATAAGTAAAGTGAGTGTCCCATCACCAATGCGTTCCTACAGATCTAAGATCTTGAAACTGTATATCGTACCTAGTTTATTTTTTACCAAATTTATTAGCATAGAAAGTGATAAACTGTGGTGTAAAAATCGGGAGATGTAGTTTATGTGACTAAAAGTCTTCGGAAGGAACACTGAAAGGAAAACTCTACGTCCCCACAGAGCGCTCATGTCAAACTGAATAACAGAGTACCGATCAAGAGCGTTTTCAATGGTTCGTATTCATGCCAATACAGCACAATATTTATAAATCATTACTGGGGAATAAAATGGCCCGGATTTCCAATCACACGATGAAATCGTTTCTAGTAATCTCTGATATGATGAGGTTTAATTTTCCCAAGTAGTGATAACTCTATTCAAACGAATTGAAGGGTCTCTGGGATCTTTTGGAAATACGTTTTCGATGCTCCTTGCTCAGACAATGCAACCGTGAGCAAAGGTCATTGTGGCATAGGCTTGACGATCGATTTCTATTGAGGTTTACCTTACCAAAATGAACGTATCCCGAACGATCACCCTATTTGAATTTCACTTGGGACAGGAACATTTGAATCACATGATCAACCTGTGGGCTCGAACAGGTCGTCTGTTGGAAGAGAGTCGACGAATTGTGCCAGTCTATTTACGTTTGGGTGGAGTGAAAAATGGTCTTAGCGTGAACACACAGTCACCAATAACCGTGATGGCTAGAACACTGATCTCGTTAGCCGGACCGAACTATGAATTGGCCGAGGGCGAGGAGGTGCGAATTATCAGTAACAGCGATGATCCACACTTTTGGAAGGTGCACACGAGCAGTGGAATCGCTGAGGTCCCCTCCGTCTGTCTGTGGATTTCGGATCCGGATTTGGAAGCCGTCAAGAAAGCGATCACGTGAGTTTGTGCGCATTCGAAATACCAGTCACATTACGAATCAGTAAAATCAGAATAAAACCCACATGGATTTTAAGTCTGTTCGATTTACAACAGAGATTAGTTTGTCATTTTGCCTCTCATAAGTCCTTAAAACTTCTATCGATGGGATTTATACGAAATTCAAACGTACTGGCCAGTTAGGGGAGTACCAGTGTCACGAATTTCGAAATAGGAATTGGGAACTCAATGGACCCCGAAATTCAGGGGGTCGGCCGCCATCGACTACAATTTTGGATTTATAATGGAAAAGCAAACTTTGATTACCGAAAATGGGGTCAATCGGAGTAAATGAGTAGATGACAAATTGTAGTCGATTGAATGCAGGCATATGATGAATATTGGGGCGGTATAGCAATTGTAAGATATTTATCGAAACTGATCTATGGATAGATTCCGTCATTATTTCCGCATGGAAGATGTGTACTCATCTTCTGTAGTCTATACCGGCAATAATCGGCCTCACGTGTTACCCTGGAAC